TTTAAATACTAATTGCATTTAGTAAATTATTTCCCCTACTTAGTTAATATATATCTATATATATATCTATATATATATATATATTAACTAAGTAGGGAAATATTATTAAATGTAATTATTATCTTATAGTAGTTGTGGGGAAAATATATATATATATATATATATATATATATATATTTTTTATTATATATATATATATATATATATATATATATATATATATTTTCCCCCACAGACAAATACATAAGATAATTAATTTCTTGTGATTAAGAATTCAATAGCAACCATGAAAATACAATAAATGATTAATGCCAAATATATACCTATACATGCACATGATATTTTCATACAATTTCAACTTACCTGGAATAAAATTGCACTGGTGGCGATGAAAGCTTTCCAGAGAAGAGGACCCTCTGCCACACCTCAGAACATCCAGGACCTTGTCTCCCTTCTGTAACCCAAAGCCCATTTTGGTGTAAAGCTGAACACCGGGTGGATCTTGGATGCATGGCAAGTGCTTTTGTTGAACCTCCCACACGCGTGTCATGCTAGCTAGATTTACGAGGCGTAGACCCGTGGTGTCAGTCAGTTCCCACATGCAGTCTAACAGTTCTTGTATCATTGTGTGAATGAATGTAATTCTTGGATGAATATAATTCTATAATTCATGTTTCTTTATGTACATGGATGGTTATCTAATTATGTATGAATTTATTTTATGTCAGCATCAAATACAATCTTCCATTGTAAATAGAATAGATAATAATGTTTAAACTAAACTAAAGAGTGCTAAAAGTTTTTAGTTATCTAAAAGCAGTATCAATTATAAAGTAAACTATAAAGTGAATCAGTTAACACTGAGGAGATTTCTCTTCTACTGTTTGAATAAAATATTTTGACACGTCCATCCATTTTCTGTAGCACTTATCCTACACCGTGTCGCATGGAGCCTGGAGTCTATCCCAGGGGCTTGGGGCACAAGGCCACGCTGGAAGGGGTGCTTCATATTGAAATTCCAGGACTTTCAAAAACTTTTCAAGCACAATTGTTTTTGTTTTCAAGGACTCTACAAGATGTAAATCAAACATATTCTTTATTTAAATAATAATAATATTAATAATAATAATAATAATAATAATAATAATAATAATAATAATAATAATAATAATAATAATAATAATATAATAACAATATAATAAAAATAAAACACAAGCACATTTTATATGCTGCCTTTTCCAGTTACTAGATGATAATTTAAATACAGCGGCTGTGCTGTGTTTTCGGCTATCTGTAAAATGATCACTCGGAGAGAAAGTTTGAAGTGAACGAATGAGCTGCTCCTCTCTGCCCCTCACTGTACAGAGGAGCCGCAGAGAGAGGTGTGTCTCCGGGGGGAGCAGGACCGTGCACTAAGGGGGTAGTACTGGGCACTCTCTTCTACGAAAATTGGCTAAGGTTTGCCCAAAAATGTACAAGATTTTTCTCAAGGTGCAATTTTGAAGAAGAAGAAAAAACCGCTAAACGGAACATGAACTCCGTGCACACAACCACAAGCGTGTCCCTCATTAACAGATTAACCGACTTTTTTTTTTCTGTTCACCTTTACTTATGATACAACCAAATGAGTTTAAATGAAATTCTAGGCAGGTGTTTTGATCGGTTTGGATGGCGTTTGGCTGCTCATGGGCCCAAACAAGTTTTCGCGCTCATCAGAAAAAACCGCGAGTTCACATCAGAAAAAAACGCGAATTCTCTCTGGCGGCATTTTAAAAAACCAGACACTCTGTATTCCATTCGTCATTATTGCTGTCATTGTTAATATTATTCTATATACTATAACTTAAAGTAACCCGTACATTCACAGCACAATATAAATGGCTGGCCTGATATTTAGGTCAATATTAAAGCACCTATAACAATAAGTTTAGTTAAATTAATGATCAGACTCACCTCGAATCTATCCAAAGGTACAAAAAAAATCTTTAAAAAAAAGCTTTATAAAATATATATGAATATCTGTGTGCTGTGTACTCTCCGAGGATCGTGAACAAATGGCTCCTGCAGATTCTTTCTCTCGTTTATTAATCACATGATTTTCCACGTCACTACGTTTCGACCAATGGCCGTTTTGCCCCGTCTCGTTTATTAATCACGTGATTTTCCACGTCACTACGCTTCGACCAATGGCCGTTTTGCCCCGGTGAGCTTTGCCCCATGAGGGTTAGGACTGTTAGGACTTTGTTAGGAATGTGTTAGGACTTTGTTAGGAATGTGTTAGGACTTTGTTAGGACCTCTTTGAACTGTGTTAGGACCTGGTTAGGATGCGTTAGGAACTGATTGCCAGTACGTTCGCCGGAGGGTACGGCCACAACCACGTAAAACAGCCTTGCATCAGCGTGGAGCAATGTCTGAACGTATTCCCATGCAATTTGTTTGAGAAATGTATAGGCTTCACTTAGGGACCCTGCTCAGGTATTTCGGCAACAAAGCAGTGGAGTTGGTTCCTTCTACGCACAGTGCCAGGAAGTCAAAGCCATTCTTTGTAAGCATCCAAACTATGCAGGGACCTTTCAGGTGATCTATTTAAATATCTTATGATGCAAAGAGGAACTACATTATGGACAGTCCTATCAACAATGCGCAGCATGTCTGAAGTGGGATTTGAACCCAGGCCTCCAGAGGATACTGCGACCTTAACGCAGCGCTGCTCACCCATCCTGACTAAACACCCCAAAAGCTATGCAAAGGAAATTCCAAACTATGCAGGGGCATTTATTTAAACAAGCTCTCAGGAACAGCCCAATACCCCCTTATCAGAGGTGCAGCAAAGGAACCAAATGTCAAAAGTGGGATACTGCGAGGATACTCCAGAGGATACTGCGACCTGAACGCAGCGCCTTAGACCACAGCGCCTTAGTCCGCTTTTCTATTCGAATTTTGCTCTTTACAAGCAAAGCAGCAAAGTGATTTAAGGAAACACTAGACTATTATTTCTGGAGCCAATAAACGTGTTTGTGCATCTTTATATTCTCATGTTTCTGTCCCTCTTCAATACATTTACTTCAATTAAGTAACTAGACCATTTACAAGTTTACATGTACACATTCGATTCAGTTCAAATCAATTTTATTTGTGTAGCGCTTTTTACAGTGGACATTGTCTCAAAGCAGGATTCGTTTGACTTCCTTTACGTCAATACAATTTCCCAGGATGGAAGATGTGTTTGGCACGAGCTTGTTTGATGAATGCCAAGGTGCTTTGTAGCTCATCTTCATAAAGATTCTCTGCATTAAGACTCAGGTTCATAGCAGGCTTCAACTTGCACAGGTAAAGCCCCAGTGCAGTTCAAGTCCAGTGCCATATTCTGTTGGCCATCACGGGTATGGGGCACGGGACAAGGCTTAAGTGCAATTTCTTGGATCATTTATGGTTTTATCGTTTATGTTTTGATGCTATCCAAACTGCCAACCGTCTTTCCAAGTGTCAGTAGGATTTCCTCGTTAGTATAGTGGACAGTATCTCCGCCTGTCATGTGGAAGACCGGGGTTCGATTCCCCGACGGGGAGTCTGCTTGCTAACACCGGTGCCCCATTCTTTTGCACATCACGAAAGAACCATGAGACAAGGCTTAAGTGCAATTCCTTGGCTCATTTATGTTTTGGTCATTTCCAACGTGCCAAGCGTCTTTACAAGCCTTAGCAGGAATGTAGCGTAAGACAAGGCTTAAGTGCAACTCCTTGGCCAAGTGTCTTTTCAAGCCTTTTCAAGCCATTTCTAACCCCAACCCTAAGCTGTACATGATGTGAAAGAAAACGTGATTCCTCAGACCAAGCCACCTTCATACTGCTCAAGGGTGCAACGGTTAATACACATCATTTAATACTTGACGTAAAACACAGTTACAAAACATTTAACTCAAAGGAGCTACTCCACTCACCATTCTATTGCACCGTCTTTACAAGCCTTAGCAGGAATGTAGCGTAAGACAAGGCTTAAGTGCAACTCCTTGGCCAAGCGTGTTTTCAAGCCTTTTCAATGCTTTACAAGCATTAGCAGGAATGTAGCATAAGACAAGGCTTAAGTGCTACTCCTTGGCCAAGCGTCTTTTCAAGCCTTTTCAAGCCATTTCTAACCCCAACCCTAAGCTGTACATGATGTGAAAGAAAACGTGATTCCTCAGACCAAGCCACCTTCTTACTGCTCAAGGGTGCAACGGTTAATACACATCATTTAATACTTGACGTAAAACACAGTTACAAAACATTTAACTCAAAGGAGCTACTCCACTCACCAGCGGTAGCAGTCAGGAATTCCAGGAAATATCCCGTTTTACCATTAAATACATTTCTAGTATGTTAAGAGAGATAATACACTTTAGTCGTTAGCTTACATTTAGTGTGAATGGCTGAGCGGCGGGCCAAACCATTCTATTGGACCGTCTATACAAGCCTTACCAGGAATGGAGTGTAAGACAAGGCTTAAGTGCAACTCCTTGGCCAAGCAACTTTTCAAGCCTTTTCAAGCCATTTCTAACCCCAATATGGTTTTATTATTATTATTATTATTATTATTATTATTATTATTACAACCCTAAGCTGTACATGATGTGAAAGAAAACGTGATTCCTCAGACCAAGCCACCTTCTTACTGCTCCATGGTCCTGTGCTGATGCTCATGTGCCCTTTCTATGAGCTTTTGATGGAAGACACTGGCCAGCATAGCCAGTGTAGAGGCCACCATTTTCTTGGTTTTCGTCCCTGGTTGTCTAGTGGTAAGACCGGTGTTTAAGTTGTATAAAAACAATCAGATATATATAAACACAATCACGAGCGACGCGCTCGGGAAACACAAGCACATAAATAAGGCAGGTAATCAAACTAAACCCAACACCTGCCGTGAGATTGCATTCACGCGCAGACTAACCACCCCTGCCCGACTCAACTGCGCCCCAGCATGCCAACTACATTATGCACAGTCTTATCAACAAAGTGCAGCATGTCAGAAGTGGGATTTGAACCCACGCCTCCAGATGAGACTGAAACCTTAACGCAGCACCTTAGACCATCCTGACTAAATGACCCTAAAGCTATGCAAAGGAAATTCCAAACTATCCAGGGGCATTTATTTACACAGCCTAAAACCCCTCATCAGAGGTGCAGCAAAGGAAACAGAAGCGGGATTTGAACCCACGCCTCCAGGGGAGACTGCGACCTGAACACAGTGCCTTAGACCGCTTTGCCATACTGACACACCAAAGCTATAGCGTTGTGGACCATGCTCGGCTATAGCCAATATTTTCCAAATAAAGCACAATTAGATTACTTGAAATAGAACCACTGATTTCATCAATAAGTGCTACTCTTTGGGGCAGTCTCATCTCTGTATTTGACATTATTTACTTTGTGTGAGTCCTGCAATGTTTCTCGGCTGAAAGTCACCCTAATTGTAGCACATTTACTGCAGTTTTAAAGTAAGTGCTAGCAAGTTGGGGCATAAGCGTGAGCTGTTAGTTTGAAGGGGAAATCAGTGTCAGGTGTTTTCAGTCTATGGCATAACAATCAGGTGTGAATGAGTACCATGTCTGATTTGAGGAACAGGTATCAGTCAAAGTCTGACCTTCACAACACATGTTTGTTAAAGTGTATCATGCTATGCAAAAAATTTATTTGTGAGGATCTGGGAAAGGGCTTTCGGATGAGGTGGCCATAGGTTAAGTTGATGGACTGCCAATCTGCTGTGCACAGTCTGGATTTGAATCAAGAAGACTTTTAATGCAGGTTTAATGCAAGTTCTCATTCGTAGTTTGACAGACAATACTGTCCAAATAAAACACCATTACATTACTTGAAATAGAAGCACTGATTTCATCAATAAGTGCTACTCTTTGGGGCAGTCTCAGCTGTGTATTTGACATTACTTACTTTGTGTGAGTCCTGCAATGTTTCTCTGCTGAAAGTGTTGTGGATAAAATCAACCTTTCTAGCTTAAGTCAAAAACGTCAAAGACAGAGAGTTTTGTAGATGTCAAACGTAATCAACTTTATTGGAAACCAACAAAGTGTGACTGTCTGCAGAGAGTCCAACTTGTACATACACAAACATGTCTTTATATACTTCCCAAAACAGTAAACCTAATTCCTAGGTGTGGCATTCAACGTTTCTTTTTACAACCGACCAATCTCCACTGCTTTAACTAATTATTCATATCCATAGGATACCTTATCTTTGTGGCGCATGAGCAGCCAGTTGTATATTCTTTAAAAGTTTTACCAGACACGGGTTTGTTTACCATGATACATATTTCATCCTATAGCCGCATCTTGGTACCTTTCTGTTGATTCTTATCTTTTCTTTTGTCACTGATTTACAATCTTAAGAGGCTCTGTTTTAGAAAGCCAGTTCTGGAATATGTCCAAATTACTACCATAAAGTGAAGTTGCATTTAGATAAACACAAGCTCTGGTGTTACTACCACAGAGTAAGTCTGCTTTAGACAAAACCCAAAACCTCTAATTTACACATTTAGAGGTGAAACTGAGTTTAAACAAACACAGGTTCTTACTTTACACACTTAGAAGATGACCTGTTGGAAGTATCTTATAGTTTTAGATTAGCCACAGAAAGTAATTAGGCCCACTGTTTAGTAAGACACAGAATTTTTCTAACCCAATCCACACTCAGAATATTACTTGATCAACCATTATTCTATGGAGTTAGATTATGCTTCTAACTATTGATAATACATATAGATTATGCTTTTTAACCCATACAGATTATTTGATTATACTTTAAGGAGTAATTCTAAATGCAGGTTACATATTGAATAAACTTCATTAACATATCCAGAAGTGAGTTATACACATTGATTACATGTCCTAGCCATTTTTTATACATATTTTTGATATATTTTCTATATATTTCCCCCCTCTGGGGCTTACTAAGCCCCACCTAACTTGAGAGAGTAATCACACAATCCAGTCATATCATTTATACTAACTAGTGATCAATGTATGATCACATCAGCCATCTTCCAATGACCAAATCCTGAAACCACTCTCTCAGGAGATCAGAACCAAACATCTCCTCTCCCATTGACTAGAAATGAGTAAAAGATTCTGCCTCCCTTTCCCTAACCGCAAGAATTAAGACAGTGTTTGTAAGCATGAACATACATTTTCACAGCACTTATTATTATTATGTAGAGTACATTATTGTGTAGAGTACATAGTTAATTAAGAACATATAGCTGATACAAGTATAGACTAATGAACCTTAATACAAAACAATTTTTCAGTTTGATTACATTGACAATTCAGACATTGATTACCGTGTCCCTTAATCACGTGATTATATTTTAATAGAAAACGTAAAAATTCAAAAACTAGAAAAATAGAAAAAACTAAATCTCCATCACACCCTTCTCCAGGGGATGTATCCAGAATGATTATCTTCGACCCAGATACTTTACGTATCGTCGAGAGTCTGCCTTTCTGGGGAGAGGTCACCAGTACTTACACCCAGGGCATTGGCTCATCATCTTCTTCTTTGTCCTCACTGGAGGAACTGCATCCATCCTGTTGCAGCCGATTAGAGATCCAGCCTGGCTTTTTTCCTTCAGCAGGTGCATCAGGATCACCAGAGCCACTGTCAGCAACAGGAGCCCTTCTTTCCTCCTGCTCTGTTGGTACGACCCCTGACAGATCTTCTTCTTTGCCATCGCCTCAGACTGCCATTCTCCCTTACCTTAATTTAGACCCTCTCTCATGACTTGGCTTGTTCTTTCTTCTGCAGTGTCAACCACTGGATCGTCCTCTTCGATCACCTGATCCTCCCTTCTCCTAGGTCTTAATCTAGGTGCGTGCTTTGTACAGCCATTCCCTTCTGGGCTGGAACAAGCCTAGGTACACCTGTTCTCCAGGAGTCACTGGACAAAGAACTTCTATCTCCTCTCTCAGTCCCCAGCTTTGTTCCTGTGAATAGATAGCTTCATACATAGTAGTTAGTTATCTCATATACGCTCTTAGTTCCATCGGCAATTACTCCAGTGGCAGTTCATCATAAGGACCTCTCAGATATGACATAGACATGGGTCGACCCGTAAGCATTTCATGCGGTGTTAGTTGCATATTTCTGTTAGTCTGCATGCGATAGGTCATTAGTGCAAGAGGTAGAGCATCTACCAAAACAGGTTGCGTTAAGCTTAGCCTTAAAGGTAACACTTACCTTTTCCACTATTCCCTGTGACTGAGGGTGATAAACACATAAACATTTTAATTTATTCACAGTTACTGTAACATTGTTTTTTAAACGAACACTGAGCCATCGTCAGAGCTAATCTGAGATGGTATGCCAACTCTGGAATTACCTCTCTAGTCAAAAATTTAATCACTGTTCCAGCAGTTTAGTCTGCTGATGGCATTGCCTACCTCCACCTGCTAAACCTGTCTATCACCAAGTGCTTAAACGGCCCTTCGGCATTGATATGTGCCCTATCAATACTGATTTTCAATTTCTGAAATTGTTTTGAGCATAAAGTTCACACTCAGAAAAAATTATCCATCATTGCCTGTAAGTACAAAGACCAGTCATCTTGCTGTTTTATCTATCCCATAACTTCCCCCTTGCACAGTGGTTAAAACCATGCGCATCTGAAACTCATACAGTGAGAAGTATCTGAAATGCATACAGTGAGAAGTGCAGTATGTACAATCAGAATTCAATTTAATTATTTGCTCGGTATGTTAAAGTGGTGTTCCAATGATTTTTCTAAGCCCTCATTGTATTCTCCAAACAGATGACACAATCCATGTGCATAAGCAGAGTCTATCCTTACCTTTAACCATAACAACTCTACCCTTAACTAGTTAGCACTCTGTAGTGATAGCTTTCAATTCAGCCAATTTGGCAGAGCAGGGTGCTCATAATGTTTATTAATGTAAATGTTTCAGACTCAAAAACTTTCAGATGAAATGTCTAGAAAGTTCAAATTTAGGCTCGAGGAAATATGGCTAGGCATTCGTGAGTGTTCTCAGTGACTGGCTCCACAGAATTAATTAGGTGATACAACACTACAGTTGGTGTATTAGACACAATAATAGGTTTAATATTTAAATTTTTCACGGCACATAGAATAACCTCATATTCTGTTCAGCTGTCATGTGTTGCATTTGGATATAATCAAAATGGAAGTGACCTGGTGTGATGAATGTAAGATCAATGTGTGAGAGAGCCATTTTCCCAGTGATCTGCAAGCTCCAGCCATGGCACGCAAACATGCTGGCAATCCTTGTGCCACCAAATCCAATGTTTAAAGACCTGCAAGTGCCCCCAACTCCTGAGCCGGGACCCCCGCAGCAGTGTACCCTCTCTCAGTCACATTTAAGAAAAGTCTTTGTTGTAGCTTGCCAGCCAAAATACAGGTGCAGAGCATAGGTCCATTCAATGTCAGGTTTTTTCCTTAGAACACCCAGATCTCAGGATTTTGCCGTGAAGAGAGCAAACAGTGACCCACTGAAGACCATACTTGATAACGTCCAGGAAGCTTAACATTTGTAGTGTGGTATGGGGCGGAGGAGGACCCCAATCATGTCCTGTTGGCCTTGAGAGCGTGCGAGGGAGTCTCTGACCACAGAGGAGTAAACTGCAGGAGAGTCCACAGGCCCTGAGGGAGACGCACCCAGGTGTATTACTGATCTTGGAATGTTAAGGGGAGTAACGGTCTTGAGCTCTCACATGCAGGCACACTGGAAAAAGAGCTGAGCACAATTCAACAACAGAAAAATTATAATTATCATGTGGAAGGGAACAGGTTACATTAGGGACAAAATACACTAATGGAGCTATTGGGATGTCTAGTAAAATGCCATCCTCTTCCATCCTTAAACATTGGTTTCTGAGTGTGTTGTATTGCAGAACTCACCACAGTTATCATCACAGCTTGCTGTTAGAATGCTAGAGTAATTATTGGGCATGTCCCTTCACCCTTTTCTGAGGACAGATGATATTGTTTACAGGACACAGGATGACTGTACTTTACTTTAGCTTAATACAGTGTACATATTACTTGTCGAGC